CCTTTCGTGGGCACATGCGGAGGTTCTGGGCAACAGGCGCAAACGGCGGCGGGTCATTACCTCATCCGACGAGGAAGGCATGCATGTCGGAGTGTGTGATGCGGTGTCTAACCGTCAGACACACCACAACCAGCACCAGAGGCTCTCCAGCATGCCGGCGGCTTTTGGATGTCTTGACGAAAGTTTGTTTGAAAAGTCCTGAAATAGAAACAGCCCTGGAATGATGCCGTCTAGTGTGTAGGATGTTTCGGTGCTCTGCCCATTTCTGGGTGCTTTTGAACTTGTGGCTTGCAGACGTTCAGGACACTGGATTTGTAAGGTCCTCAGCCACTAGCCACAAAATACTGCATCGAGGTTTCACCGTAGCAGGCCGAAGTAATTGATGTGAGTCGTTTCTTTTGCTAGGCCGGAGTGTGAATTGTCACTTATGGCTGTCATGCCCTTGCTTCGAGGCCCGAACTTGTGCCATGAGTTCTTGTAAGTCTCAACGGTAGCTTCAGCTTTGAACCAGGGCTTCGAGCGGGCTTCTCCGTTTGGGAATGGGCTTGAGTCTAGCAACGGGGCCTGGCGGGAAATGCCGGGGACGCCTTTTAGGGGTTCGGAAGCATTGGTCATTCAGAGTTCCGATGAGCGGCGAGGTCTTCCAAATCCGACAACTCGTTTGATGAGGGCTCAGACGGCTAAGATGTTTCGGTCCGGGCTTGACCCTCTGTCTACGGCTTTCTTCTGAAGTCTTGCTCTGGCCTTGGCAGAGAGGTTTGACTGCCAACAAGCTGTTATGGAAGCCGGACCTCTGAGCCAAAGACCCGAACCCTCGGTAGCGGGGCCAAAACCCCATGATTTCCTTTCTGTGGAGCAGGGGAGGCTGATGCCGGCAAGCCTGTGGCGACCTCCTGTGCTGTGGGGCCCTTAGGGCTTTCAGGACAGTGATGGAGGAACGTCGGGCCCAACGCTCGCAGGGGAGGGCCACCGAGGAATTCCGGATAGATAGATTCACGAAGGTCTGAAGAGTGCAGGCTGATGTGTGGGCATATTTGTTGTGGGGATGAAGGCAATGGCAGCTTTCTTGGAGTTTGCAGCATTTCAGAGTGGGGTTGGGTTGCTTCTCTACTTGGAGAATTTTTTCCGGTTCAGCCCACCAGGTGCACCCTGCATGCGACGACAAGTCCAAGCATGTAGCACGCCATCTAACCGCCTGTTGCCACTTTGAAGTTCTGGCCCATCTATATCTTGCTCTGAAATCTCCAAATTGAATCGGTTTTATCCGAGATGAGCCAAAGGTTTTGATGCAGGCAGTGCCAGGACGTTCAGAAGGTAGCAATGTGTGTTGCATCTTGCCCGTGTTCAAGATTGGTGACATCAGATGGCAGGCAGAACCTGCTGCCGCAAGCGAGCCGCAGGACGTTCCAAAGGCGACCGACTTTAGCATACTTTGGGACGGGATCTTTAAGCCACAAACCACAGACCCGGAAAGTTCTGTTTTGTGTGTCAAACATTCAGCGCGACAGCCACCTGTTGGCAATCGGGGTTGTAGCATCCGAACCCGTCTTTACCTTGCTCTGCAATCTTCACGTTGAATGGCAAAGGGTTCTGATGCAGGTAGTGCCGTCTGCGGCCAGCGAACCGCAGGACGTTCAGAAGGTGGCGAATGTGTTGCATCTTGCCCGTGTTTGAGATTGGTGACATCAGATGGCAGGAAGAACCTGCTGCCGCACGCGAGCCGCAGGACGTTCCAAAGGCTGCCGTCTTCAGCCACAAGCCACATACTCGGAAAGTTCTGCTTTGTGTGTCCAAAGCTAGCCACAAATTGGTAATTGGAGTTGTGGCCGTTGAATGAATAAAGGATTCTGATGCAGGCAGTGCCGGCTGCGGCAAGCGAGCCGCAGGACGTTCAGAAGGTGGCGAATGTGTTGCTTCTTGCCCGTGTCCAAGATTGGTGACATCAGATGGCAGGCAGAACCTGCTGCCGCAAGCGAGCCGCAGGACGTTCCAAAGGCGGCCGTCTTCAACCACAAGCCACATACTCGGAAAGTTCTGTTTTGAGTGTCCAAACATTCAGCACGACAGCTAGCCACAAATTGGTAATTGGAGTTGTGGCCTTGCTCTGCAATCTTCATGTTGAATGAATAAAGGGTTATGATGCAGGCAGTGCCGGCTGCGGCAAGCGAGCCGCAGGACGTTCAGAAGGTGGCGAACGTGTTGCTTCTTGCCCGTGTTTGAGATTGGTGACATCTGATGGCAGGCAGAACCTGTTGCCGCAAGCGAGCCGCAGGACGTTCCAAAGGCGGCCAACTTTGCTTGCTGAGCAGACTGGTGCACACTCAGGGACTGGATCTCACAGCCGGTGAAGGAGATGCCAGCGTTCGCTAAGAAACTCTGAGCTAATGCAAAGGTGGCAGAGCCCGGAGCATCCTTCGAAGAGCCTGAGCGCAGGCGCAAGCTTGACGTCTGAAACCTGTTGTAATGTCATCGAGTTAGAATGTTACATAGCATAGCAAGAATAAATGGTTAGTATAAAATACAAGTAAAATATCATACAATCAGTATACAGTTACATTAAATAATTTTGTGTGGTCTGCCCATGACGGGGTCTGCTGCAGCAAGCGTTGTAGATGGCTGAATTCCCATGGCATCCTAAGAATTTGGAAAGGTTTCGGCCTGCCACCTAAGGAAGGGGCTTAAAAGCAGGGTGTATGCACAATCACACAGCTCCACAGGATGCTGCAAAAAGTCGTTTTAACTGGCGGATTGCTACATGGTTTGTGCTGTGGACATTCCCAGAGATCCCGGTGACGTTTAATGCGAAGAAGTGGGTGTGATAAAAGCCGTGGGATTCGATCACAGAAGCTTGCTCTCAGAAACAGGCCTCTCTACTCCTAATCTCCCCATCGAAAGCCAATCCAGCCTTGCGCTGGAACGTTGAACTCTTCAGATGCAATGCCACCCCATCGCAATCCATTGCATCATGGTCATCGTCAGCATCAGCATCAGCACCATCATAAGCAGCATTAGCTCCATCATCATCATCATCATCGTCGTCGTGATCGTGCTCCTACATCGTAGTAGCTCATCTCGAAAACCGTCCCTGAGTCCCGCTGCAAACCCCATTGTGCACCGTACTTCCTAGTCCCAGATCCTGTGACTCCAGGTGAGAAGCGGATTTCTTTAAGCCTTCAGGACCCCTGTGCAAGCAACGCACAACTCTAAAATGCTAAGTCCCTCGAGTTTTCAATTGCCAAGGAACATCAAGCAATGTTGTAGACACTTCCAGAGTCCTGGTAATCCAAAGCTTCACACCCTGGCAGTGTCCGGCCACCCGCGGCGAGAAAGCCGAAGCCAAAGGCAGCACCACAGGGATTAAGCGATTCTTTATATCGCATGTTGCAATGATGGGTTTCTGCAGGTTTTTTGAGGCCACTATCCGGGAATATTGTGGGGAGCGCTGCAAATGGTCCGGAAGCAGATCCTCACCCTTAGTCGCTGTCAGAGGGGTGTAAGTGCTCAGATGAGGCTTCGGGGTGCAGGGCTCGAGGGCTTGACGCTCGCCGGAACACCGGGAATTAAGGAGCCCCTAAATCAGGCACCCGATACATTTCACGCATCCCCTGGTTCAATCTCTTAAGACGAAGTCCTCGTAGCCCGGGACCATACCTCACCTCCAGGCAAGCCGCACAAGGAAGAGACCGGGCCAGGAGGTTCCAAGCGCTTCAGCGTTCCGGGGGAGAAGTTTGGGTTTTTTTTGACTCTAGGAAGTTGTTTTTTTTGGGGGGATGGGGTCATGGCTTAGTAGGTCAGAGTAAGGGCTGAAGGATTTAATTGAGGTTTTTTCCTTCGGATGTTCAGGCTTCGCCCACTGTGCCCAACACACTGAACAGCAACATCATGAATGATGTCTATAGTATGTGTGGTATATGTATATAAACCGCAGTGTGCTATAATGCCATGTGCATGTCGAGGAATATGTAGATGCAAATGTAGATTTGGCAGGGGTCGCGTATCCTTTTTGTCTTTTTTTGTGTCAAAATGTCTTTTTTTATGTCTCAGTTGACGTCTCGGCTTACACATTCCAATGTCTCGGCCATGTCACGGCCATGGTGAGGCGTCTACGACACAGGACATCTGTTCAGGCCTAGGCCAAATTAGAAACCCGCTCACGCATGGCATTGTCTCGGCCATGTCACGGTATGTCTCAGTTGACGTCTCGGCTTACACATTCCAATGTCTCGGCCATGTCTCGGCCATGTCGCGGCCATGGTGAGGCGTCTACGACACAGGACATCTGTTCAGGCCTAGGCCAAATTAGAAACCCGCTCAAACCCTAAACCCTAAACCGTAAAGCTTCAACTCTAAAACCTTAAACCCACCCCGAAAAAGGGTCTCGGCCGGGTCTCGGCGGAGTCTCGGCCAAGCGTAAATCCTGAACCCTAAGCCCTATCCTAAACCCTTAACCCTAAACCCCTAAACGATACAACCAAGTCCTTAACCCTAAACCACAACCCTAAACTCTAAACCCTACACCTAAACCCTACACCCAAACCCTAAACCCTAAACCAGAACCTTAAACCCTAAACCTTACTCCCAAACCCTAACCCTAAACCCTAGAGTAGAGCACAACCCAAAACCCTAAACCCTGCAAGTGATGGCAGCTCTGATGTGGTAGCTTCTGTTCCCAAGCAGTGAGCGGACACAAAGAATCACAGATTGCAGACAGGGTTGATGGCGCGGTCACGCGGCGCTATTTTCCTGCTGCTCCCTTCTAAGATTCTGATCCGAAAAGCTGTGATACGTGCCTGCGCTGCGTTCTGCATGCCAGACATGAGCAGGAAGAACCAAGTGGCCTGTGCACTTGCATCCCACCTGCTTCCCCGGAGTCGCATTTCCAGTCATTTCATCATCACCCAACTTTAATTAGATGACAGAGGTTCCTTGCCCTGAGCCTTCCGCCGTCGCGCAGATTGCATCTGGGGGTCTTCAACGATCTTCCACGAGTGATTCATTCCTTAGTATAACTCCAGTTCTCGACACGTGGATGCCTTCGTCAAAGCGTTTGCAAGTTGGGCCTCCGAATGGACCCATCGCATGATGAGTCCTGTCTGCTCCTGACTCTCCTTAAGGGCAATCAATTCGATGTTTGTCCTCTTCTCAGCACCCTTGATGCTGAGCACAGCCGTATTTAAACGGTCGTACACATTCCGGCTGTCTGTAATGAGACAACCTGAGATCTGACGCACTGCCTGAGCTGGGGCCCTTACGTCCACGCATCCATGCATAATCTCGTACCGTTGGTAGCGGGCGAAGAACAAAGCGTCCTCACCGTTCACCGCCGCTTGGGCCTCAGAGGCTCCGGGAGACCGGCAAGCGCGGTCGATGCGGTTACTGTGCCACGCCACAGGTGTGACGCGACACAATGATCCTTGGAGCATCGTCACGGGTGCCAGGCCAATGAAGATGCCCTGAGTACTATAACCATCTATCCTATTCTGGTTCCCGGCATCGACCCAACCGAACATGCCAAGCTCCTCGCCTTGCGTAAAAGCGTGTATCTTCATTGCATGCGTCTTGTGAGCCCGGGCTCGCCTGAGGCAAGCATTTGCCTTGCTGATTGTGGAGACCTGGCTCTGCGATACCTCAGACAACAGTAAGCTGACCTCAGCACTCAGGTGTGGCCCAATTTGCTGCGCATGCCAGGAGAGCCCTCCGAGGAGAGCCCGAAGTTGGCTCTTCTCTCTGTCTGTGGTGGCTTCAGTATCCTGTTTCTTACGACTAGCACAAATGGGGATCTCTTTCAAGGTTTCAATGTAGCGGACCTGGGTCAACTCAAAGCCGTCGCTCACTCGTTTGATTTGCACCCCACATTGGACGAAATCGTCCCGGTCCCAATCGCCCCATTTAAAACGCTTCTGAATGGCCTCAATGACTCGCTTCCATTTTTCATTCGCTTCACAACCAGTAAACAGGAAGTCATCTACATGACCTGATATGAGGCCAACCACCTGGTCATTGTCCCGCAAAACCCAGCAGCAAGCATCTGACCACAAACGCTGTAGGCCTTGTTCTGTCAAGAACTCGTCAACTGTCTTGTACCATTCCAATGGCGCGTCCACCAGGCCGTAACAGGCGCGGCGCAAGCGTGTGATTGATTCAGCTGGTATCTGTAATGCTTCGCAAATCTCAGGGCAAGGTATGCAATAGAGTCTGTCGGGGTATTCGCGGCCTTGCAAGAATGCTCCTGAAACGTCGCCCTTGGCAACTGACCAACCTTTGTTGGCTGCGACCTGCAATACAAGTTGTCGTGTCTGACGCGTCATGACAGGTGCCGTAGTGGCACGGTGTTCATATGACGGGTCTTGATACCCGAGCAGGACCGCTCTCGCCTTCGGCTTGGATGTGCCGTCCTCCTTCACCTTCCAAGTCAAGATCCATCGCATGCCAACAGCAACCTCCTTTGGTGGCTTGAGGGCCTCCGGGAGCGTCTCGAAGGCCTTCGCCGCGACAAAGTTCTTGACCTCGATCATCTTGGCCTCTCTGAAGAGCTTGCGCTCTTCATCAGACATCCGCTTCTCGCTGACCTCAATGGCTCGTCGTTTCATGCATCCGACAAAGTAGGTTGGCAGGTCCCGGCACGCTTGCTGCAGCTGCTTCTGTCCTGTTGGCAGCTCCAACTCCACACTCACTGCAGCCGCCTCATCGGCCCAGTAGTTGAGCTCCTCGCCCCACATGGCGTCCTGCACGTCTGACCACCATTGGTGACCCTGCTCCGACCTCGTAGGCGGATAAGGCCGGGCTCGATGGGATGAAGGCTGCGGCGTTGCCGCTGCCTGTTCCAATGGTCTCGCGCTAGTTGCTGGCTCCAGGGGCCGCTTGTGTCCCACTCGTCGCCGCACTGGTGGCTCGGCCTGTTCAACGTCTTGCGCACGAAACCACTCATCTTCAGGAACCGATTCAGTCACATCCTGATAACGATTCCCTCCGATTTCCTCAGCAACCCGGGTGAAGGTCCAGGGCACTTGGTTGCCTTGGTCCAGGGATTCGATGAGCTCCTCGCGGTTGGATGCGCGACGGACCTGTTCCGCTGCACACTTGATCAAGCTGCGTCCTCTCACCAGCCAAACCGATGAACTGGGTTGCAAGGTGCCGTCCTCGTTCCGCTTTGTCTCCGTCGCCAGTATCCTGGCCGGTCCTAAGAACTGTCCTTTCTTGTCTCCCGGTTGCTTGCGGGATTGCCCGCTCACTTGTGATCTCCAGAAGTACACTAGCTCACCCGGTGTGAAGTTCAACACTCGTCGCCCCCGAGAGCTCTGAGCTCTCGACAGCCGCTGCTGCGCCTGCCAATCGGCTAAAGCTTGCTCAGCCACACGCTGTCGCTCCACATTGCGGCTGAACTCGCCGTTGGGGTTCTCGATCAATAACTCTGGTGGTACCGCCTTGCCGGAAAAATCCATCCTTCCCGAGGCGTCGGGACTCTGCCCTAGCGCATGCTGCACTGGGGAAAAACCTCTGATGATCTCACGTTGGTTAAAGGTTCGGATGGCCGTTGCAAGTGCCTCCCGAGTCTCGAGTTCAGGATCCTCTGACACCAGTTTGCCCATCAAGCTCTTGACACCCTGGACGGCCTGCTCGACTGCACTCAGCTTCCAGTGCGCCTTGCCTGGAATCACATCTAGATATATCTGGTGTCGATCGCAGAAGTCTTCTAGTGCAGAGCCCCGAAAGGCACCTGCCGGATCCAGACGAATGGTCTGGGGGCTTCCAAAGTATGGGATCCAGCCATCGCGTAAGTACTCTAGGCATGCTGCTGCTGAAGGCTGCTGCTTCAGCCCTGACGTGAGCACTCTCGCGGCTCGAAATCTTGATCCCTCATCCACAATCATCATGAATTGAACATGTTCCTTCCGTTCCGGATTGTAGAAGTGTCCTATGTCCGCACTAACACACTGCCACTTCGGTGGGAGGGGTTCCAGAGAGGCGAGGTGACGTGGTTGGACTCTGCTACGTTCTTGACACACCGGGCACTGGAAACTCTGGGCCAGTTCGAGAACTTCGGGGTGTACCTTGCGCCTCCGGAGGGCCTCTACAAGACTGCGATTACTGCCGTGGCCGGTGGCCGCATGTAGCAAATACAGCTGCTTCTTAATCCTCTCGCGTTCCTGTTTACTCAAGGGTTGTTCATCGGCAGTCAAGATTTGGGGCCTACCTGGAGTCCTCGGGGGAACCCTGAAACCACTCTGCACAAGCTGACGTCGACTCTGATCACTCATGCTTCGGTGTGCCCTGCTGACATAACACGACACCACAAACCGCTCGCCCTTCCACGCTTCAGCCCCATGCCAGGCCTTGGGAGGAAAGTGCACCATCTGGTGCTTGGTGTCCCATCGCTGGCCGACTCGTTCTTGGCCATCTGGTGTCGCCTTGTGGACAGGTTTGGTGACAGGCTCTGTTCCCAGATGCTCTACCCACAACTGTCCTCCGGAATAGCTTCCTAGCCCTAGGACACAGTTGGGGTAGGCATCGTCGTTGTGGTTGTCCTTATGGAAGGGCATCTGCATGTTTCGACTTATCACATACGACGTGAACTTGTGTTCGCTAGGCAACTGTTGTTGGAGAAAACTGCTGAAGTACTTGTGACAGTTCGACATGACGCGTGTGTTGCGGGTAACTCCAGAGAACTTACCATACGAGTAGAGTCCGAACGTAAAGTATCCGCTAAGCCTTTTAGGGTCCTCAGGAGCCTTTACCATGGGCCTCTGGGCTGTGTTGTGCTGGGGAAGGTGTCGCACTAATTCCTCGCAACCCTTATAACTGAAATCTTGTGCCCTGAGCAGTCGCTCGGCACATGCTTCGGCTCGTTCCAGCTCCCCTTGGCAGTACAGCGCCGTGTCGTCGTCGTCCGGTTCGTCGTCAAGGGCCTCGTTGGTTTTGAGTTCTCTGCGTTCCTTACATGCCTCGGGTCCTGGTCGGGGCTCTGGAGGCTTCTTTTCTTCTCTAGAGACCTGGGCCTGTGGTCCTTCGTTTTGTTCTGCTGGGCCTTCCCGGCACATGCAGACATGGCATGGCGTGCTCCTGGAGTCTCTGTCGTTTCTATCGCACACACAGAACAAACCACTGCCAAAGTCCTCAGGCAACGACGACTTCCCTTGCAGTTCACTCAGTAAACTGACATGATTGTGTTCTTGAACCAAAGCCTGAAGAGCCCTCTTACAATACTCCGAAGTGAAAACCCCAGCCCCAATGGCCGTGTTCACGGCGGCATGTTGGTAACCCTTGTGGCACGCGCAAGGCGCGTGTAGCAGCTCGGCGAGCTGGTGCGTCGTAAGGAGCTTCCATCCCTTCCTGGACAGTTGCTGGCCATCTGGCCCTCTGAGGTTCATGCGACAACCCTTAGTGACGCAGCTATGTATACCTTGGCGGTTGCTAAGCTTCTGCAGCAGGGGAAGCCGCCAAGCATTGGAGTGTTCATACATACACCATGTCACATGTATGCCTCGCTGAATACACGCATCCACCAGAATCTGACTGCCTACATACGCACGCATACATGTTTGTTTCTTTTGTTGCAACTCGTTGTTTTGGGCCTCAGTCCTCTGATTGGCATTCTGGTAGGGACTGAAGGCTGCGCTAGGAGGGTTGATCCACACATGTAGCGGTTGGAGCGTGGCAATCTTTTCCAAAAGACTGCGGACTCCCGCGTCTGTGCTAAGATCATGACCATTCCAGTCTCCGCACCGGATGGCCGCATGGGCCTGCCCCACTTCATCTTGCACAGTTTGTGCTAACTGGCCCTCTGAGGAGCCGGTCACTTCTAAGAGAATGGGCCGGGACTGAGAAACTAGATCCTGAAAGAGCTGAGGAACTAGGGTCCAGGCCTTGTTCTCTAAGTGGGAGGCGGATTCCTTACTGAGGTACAGACCCTTCTCCTCAGTTCCCGGTCCAGGCTCTGAGGCTAATACATCCTCGCAAGCTGATACGGGTAGCCCTGCTCTCAACTCGTCGCTGGCTTCACCCCGCCCTCCGGCTCGGCCGTCTTGGTCTCCATGCTTTTGCCGCGCACCTCCTTGCGTGGCCGCTCTGCGCGCATCTCCATCACCTCCTGCTGTAGGCTCTGCAGGGACTGCATCATACTCTGGAGGAGCTCCGTCGGCACCTCGGTCGATGAGCTGGCTGCTGGACCCGGATATCCCTTGGCCTTGGGTGCTGCCTTCTTTGGCTGCTCCTGGGTCTTGTACAGCTCGATCTCCTCGGTGGTCTGCTGCTCCAACCAGGATGCCAGGCGAAGGAGACGGTAGTCCGCGGTCGACGTCGAGCTTGCCGCCGTCTTCAACACCCAGTCCTTGTAGGTCGGATGGAGCACCAAGATGTCGCGATACAGCAGGGTGCTGTGTTGTCCGAAGCCCACAACATCGTCAGGCGGCGAAGAGCTGCCTGTTCCATGGACCACATGTTGTGGTTCCCACTGAGGTCCACCCCGATCTCCTTGCAGAACGTGGTTAGCGTGCTTTTCTTGCGCGCCGCCACACCCAGATCCTTGATCTTCGTCTGGAGATCGGTGCGCTGCTTGCCCTTCTTCTCTCCCAGAGACGGCTCGATCTCCAAGATGCGCTGGGCCAGCTCTTTGTTGGTCCACTTGGTGGGCGGTTCCTCGCCCAGCTCCCTGAGCTTGCTCTGCAGCTCGGCCTTCTTCATCTTCTGGATCGCCATGGTGAGAGCTGAGGAACGAAACTCGTCTTGGGGCTCGGACGTGAGTGTCCTGAGAGTCCTGGTTTGAGAGACGGTGGCTCTCAGAACCTGGATTCCTCATGTCATCTAATTTATAACCCTCATCACCATCTTCATCGATCACACCCTCATCATGACTGGAAATGCTTCTCGGATTCAGTTGGCATTGCTTTGCAACGCCCCCACTGCCTGAAAAACTCATTGTCGCTTCTTTCCCGCCAGGCGAACAGTCAGAAGCGCGTTGTCCCTACTCGCTCTTCGGAGTCTGTACATACTCTGCCAGGCTTGGCACGGGACGATTGGTCGGCTTGGCATTCTTGTAGAGGTTCTCCGTCAGGGGAAGCAGTTGGCGGCCCGTTGTGGATCGCTCCACGGAGAGGATTCGACCTGGATCCACACGTCTGAAGCAGACCAGGTCCTCCGAGAAGTCTATGATTGCGCCCAAAGCGCGCAACGATGCCACCGACAGCAAGATCGGGCTGTCTCCACGGTCCAGAGCGTGGATGGTGAGCTGGCCGGTGCGATCGCCGGCACTGATGCCCAGCTCCACCGTGCTCGTGCAACGGTTCTCCGTTGAATTGCCAAAGCCGAACACTGGCTGATTTGCCAGATCCACTGACAACACCCTCGACTCGCCATACTTCTGATCGTTGATGTCCATCACATTCTGTATCGCGGCCACACTCCCTAAGGTCCTTGTGGCTCCCCCGTCGATCACCGCATAGCCGCTCTTCACCGGTGCTCAATAGAGCTTGCTCCTCGGTCTCGCCTGTAGCGAGCGCTTGGTCAGAGAAGCATACGAAGGGCGCGGATTGAGTCGCCCCCGAGGAAGCACCCTTGGAGCTGTCCTGACAGTTCGCTGCCCGGTGGCCCTTCACTCCACATTTCAAGCAGATCATCTGTGAGTCATCACGCGGCTTCTGGTAGGCGTCGCGCGGCTTCTGGTAGGTCCCCGGCTTGTAGTATTTCCTTGCCAGACGTACTGCCGATTGTTTGGCCCTTGCTTCCTTGAGGGTACGTCGAGCATTCTGGATGACCGCACAGGCCTGTTCAATGTCCTCGGCGGCCTCCGTCCACATCGCCAGGTCCTCGGGGCCTAGGTCCTCGGCCGTGAAGCCATCGTCGGCCGCGCTCTCCTCTTCAAGCTCATCCTCTTCATCCACGGTGCCAAGGTAACTTGCCGGACGATGGTCTCGGCGGTGTTGTTCAACATCATGAAATTGTGAACGAAGTTCTTGCGCCACGCGCTGTAGCGAGAAGTCGTTCTGCACCGCGGTCTGGATGAGATTGCGTTCTGCCGGTGTCAAACCGGCATCTTGTAGGAGATACCACCCTTGTATGAATTCGGGCAGCAGCTCTGGTAGAGCCGTCGCCTGGGTGGTGGTGCGCGAGCCTGTTCCCCACGATGGTGTCCACTGCCATTGCCACCACTCCCTTTGCTGCCAGCTATGGTCGCTGCGCTCGCTTGCATCATCATCGGTAGTGGTAGTAGCCGCTGATGGTACGGGTGCCGCTGCCTGTGTGGCGGCGGGCGCCTCTGTCTCACTCCCTCGGTCTGAGGCATTGGTGTCCGTGCTGTTCCGGCGACCTGCTGTGTTCCAGGGTTGGGAGTCTTGCCAATCCTGATAGCCGGAGCCGCCGCGATAGCCGCCCCACGACCAGTTCGCTCCGGTATAGCTTCCATAGCCATCCTGAGACCAGGTCCGCGAAGCCGTCGCGACCTGAGCGGGAGCCTTGGTGGGGTCCCTGTGATATGGAGCCACGCGCTGCATGGCCTGGCATGCCCTCAGATACACTTCGCACTTCCTGGAGATGTACTCGTTCATCGACTCCTGTGGCTTGCGCCGTCCCTGGCGGAAGTAGCGATTCAAATGTTCTGTAAGTTCTGGGATCTGAGGACGTCCCAGGCAGGCCCGAAGGTGTCGCAGCAAGGTGGCCACTCCTTCATCATGAGATAGCCAGGTGGCCGGTTGGCCCGCGACCAGCCGCTTGGCCGCTCCTGTCAGCTCCCCAATCAACTTGGGGCCCACCAAGTAACGCTTGTATGTCGGGGTGCTCTGCTCATAGATCAAACACTGCTCGGAATACTCCTCAAAACTGGACGGAGTTCCGTCCCACATCGGTATCCCGTCACGTCCTCGTGACACTGATGCAGCTGCCATCCTTGGATTCTCGGACCGGTAGCACAGGTCCAAGCGTTGTTCAAGGTCCCTGGATCTGGAACCCGGTCCTCAAAGACCGGGCTCCGCTACCATGCAAGTGATGGCAGCTCTGATGTGGTAGCTTCTGTTCCCAAGCAGTGAGCGGACACAAAGAATCACAGATTGCAGACAGGGTTGATGGCGCGGTCACGCGGCGCTATTTTCCTGCTGCTCCCTTCTAAGATTCTGATCCGAAAAGCTGTGATACGTGCCTGCGCTGCGTTCTGCATGCCAGACATGAGCAGGAAGAACCAAGTGGCCTGTGCACTTGCAAACCCTAAACCCTCGTAAGCCCTTAACCCTAATCCCTAAACCCTGGCGAACCCTAAATCCGGGTCTCGGCCGGGTCACCGCCGAGTCTCGGCCAAGCGTAAATCCTGAACCCTAAGCCCTATGTCCTAAACGCTTAACCAAAGACCCCTAAACCTTACAACCAAGTCCTTAACCCTAAACCACAACCCTAAACCCTAAACCTTACGCCCAAAGCCTAAACCCTAAACCTTACACCCAAACCCTAAACCACAACCCTAAATCCTAAACCTTACACCCAAACCCTAAACCCTAAACCGTAAAGCTTCAACTCTAAAACCTTAAACCCTCCTAAGCCGTTAACCCTAATCCCTAAACCCTGGCGAACCCCGAAAAAGGGTCTCGGCCGGGTCTCGGGGGAGTCTCGGCCAGGGTCGCGTATCCTTTTTGTCTTTTTTTTTTGTGTCAAAATGTCTTTTTTTATGTCTCAGTTGACGTCTCGGCTTACACATTCCAATGTCTCGGCCATGTCACGGCCATGGTGAGGCGTCTACGACACAGGACATCTGTTCAGGCCTAGGCCAAATTAGAAACCCGCTCACACATTGCATTGTCTCGGCCATGTCACGGTATGTCTCAGTTGACGTCTCGGCTTACACATTCCCATGTCTCGGCCATGTCACGGCCATGGTGAGGCGTCTACGACACAGGACATCTGTTCAGGCCTAGGCCAAATTAGAAACCCGCTCAAACCCTAAACGCTAAACCGTAAAGCTTCAACTCTAGAACCTTAAACCCTCCTAAATCGTTAACCCTAATCCCTAAACCCTGGCGAACCCCGAAAAAGGGTCTCGGCCGGGTCTCGGCGGAGTCTCGGCCAAGCGTAAATCCTGAACCCTAAGCCCTATCCTAAACCCTTAACCCTAAACCCCTAAACGTTACAACCAAGTCCTTAACCCTAAACCACAACCCTAAACCCTAAACCCTACACCTAACCCCTAAACCCTACACCCAAACCCTAAACCCTAAACCAGAACCTTAAACCCTGAACCTTACTCCCAAACCCTAACCCTAAACCCTAGAGCACAATCCAAAACCCTAAACCCTAAACCCTCGTAAGCCCTTAACCCTAATCCCTAAACCCTGGCGAACCCTAAATCCGGGTCTCGGCCGGGTCACGGCCGAGTCTCGGCCAAGCGTAAATCCTGAACCCTAAGCCCTATGTCCTGAACGCTTAACCAAAAACCCCTAAACCTTACAACCAAGTCCTTAACCCTAAACCAGAACCCTAAACCCTAAACCTTACACCCAAACCCTAAACCCTAAACCGTAAAACTTCAACTCTAAAACCTTAAACCCTCCTAAGCCGTTAACCCTAATCCCTAAACCCTGGCGAACCCCGAAAAAGGGTCTCGGCCGGGTCTCGGCGGAGTCTCGGCCAAGCGTAAATCCTGAACCCTAAGCCCTATCCTAAACCCTTAACCCTAAACCCCTAAACGTTACAACCAAGTCCTTAACCCTAAACCACAACCCTAAACCCTAAACCCTACACCTAAACCCTAAACCCTACACCCAAACCCTAAACCCTAAACCAGAACCTTAAACCCTGAACCTTACTCCCAAACCCTAACCCTAAACCCTAGAGCACAACCCAAAACCCTAAACCCTAAACCCTCGTAAGCCCTTAACCCTAATCCCTAAACCCTGGCGAACCCTAAATCCGGGTCTCGGCCGGGTCACGACCGAGTCTCGGCCAAGCGTAAATCCTGAACCCTAAGCCCTATGTCCTGAACGCTTAACCAAAAACCCCTAAACCTTACAACCAAGTCCTTAACCCTAAACCAGAACCCTAAACCCTAAACCTTACGCCCAAAGCCTAAACCCTAAACCTTACACCCAAACCCTAAACCCTAAACCGTAAAACTTCAACTCTAAAACCTTAAACCCTCCTAAGCCGTTAACCCTAATCCCTAAACCCTGGCGAACCCCGAAAAAGGGTCTCGGCCGGGTCTCGGCGGAGTCTCGGCCAAGCGTAAATCCTGAACCCTAAGCCCTATGTCCTAAACCCTTAACCCTAAACCCCTAAACCTTACAACCAAGTCCTTAACCCTAAACCAGAACCCTAAACCCTAAACCTTAGACCCAAAGCCCAAACCCTAAACCACAACCCTAAACCCTAAACCTTACACCCAAACCCTAAACCCTAAACCGTAAAACTTCAACTCTAAAACCTTAAACCCTCCTAAGCCGTTAACCCTAATCCCTAAACCCTGGCGAACCCCGAAAAAGGGTCTCGGCCGGGTCTCGGCGGAGTCTCGGCCAAGCGTAAATCCTGAACCCTAAGCCCTATGTCCTAAACCCTTAACCCTAAACCCCTAAACCTTACAACCAAGTCCTTTACCCTAAACCAGAACCTTAAACTGTAAACCTTAGACCCAAAGCCCAAACCCTAAACCACAACCCTAAACCCTAAACCTTACACCCAAACCCTAAACCCTAAACCGTAAAGCTTCAAGTCTGAAACCCTAAACC